TTTGTTTATTTTGTCTGTAACCGATCTTGTATATAGTTCTTAGAGGTATTTTTTTTTCCTTTAAATGAATGACTCTAATTTTCTTATCGATACCCTGAAACAACAAGGCTGTGCTGATCTAAGTCAGGGCATGGCTAACTCACAGAACGGATTGAAATTCCTTCTTTGTCTCTACCTATTGTTCAATTTGACTTTCTTTTTCTCTTTCTCTGTCTCTTGCTCTTCTTCCCCACCCACTCCACCCCTCCTTACCTCCTTATCTTTCTTTCTTTATTCCCATTTTTCCCTTTCCTTTTCGTTTTTCTTCCTTAAAAACGCCTTGAATCACAGACTGCATACATATATAATTTTTATCTCTTTTGATCTATTCTAATTCCGTTACAACATCAAAGTACAGTACAAAACAAAACACAAAGGGCGTTCCACCAGCGGTGTTAATAAATCAACGGAAACATCATTTAAATTAAGCAAACTCAATAGATCTAGAAATAAGTCTTTGAATGAGAAATCGCGATAAAATCTTTAAAATTCTTAGATCCTTGGAAATAAAATTAATTTGTTATTTGAGATTCTAAATATTCTCTTTGACACATGAAGATGCTTATTTTTATCCACTATTTAGAGCAAAATTGAAAAACGAGCCGCGCCGTGCCTTTTACAGCGCTTACCAATCACACGCGCGAAATCGTACAATTTTCTGTCTCGACAAAATAAGGTTTTTGTGGACGTCAATCGAAGTGTGTTTCCATGACATTGTCGGAAAATAAAACGTTTTCAAGAGCACGTGTCTATAAAATGTTGTGAAAACGTCTTGATTGACGTCCATCAAAACCAAGTTTGTCGCTTGGGGGGGGGGGGGGGCGGACGGGAGGGTAGTGAGAGAAGAGGGAAAGCCTCTCCCCAGGCCCCTAGGCCTAATACTCAGGCTAGAAGCGCTGTAAAAGAATTACGTTATCAAGCATTCTGATTGGATGATGAGTCGAAGGCATTTGAATGACGCATTTTCAACAACCAGTTGCGCCGAATTTAAAGAAGAGGAAGCGAACTAAAATACTTCGAAACTTTTAAAATTCAAGCTAGAAGTAAAACCGGTCTCTACGGCTCCAGAGCTAAGCCACACAGACCCATTTTCCGTTCTCAACACTCAACAAAAATTTTATATTGATATAAAATTACCCTGAGAAAAACGTGCAATGATTTGAAATTGTAGACGAATCCATTCATTCTTTTTCTCACCCAGGAATTAATTCTCCGAGCTTCTATTATAATTTTCCTGGTTCCCATCAACTTGAGACTTCTATTACATCTTTCAATAAGTTTAGCCTTCACTTCAAAGGATTCAAGTTTCAACTAAGTCAATTAACTTCTTTTCTATGGATTATCTGTTAGGAAACCCCTCGTCTATGTGACTCCTTCCTTAATTCACGAAAAGATGAGCGAGGAAAGAAAGAAACGTTTTAACGACTCCTCAGTCTTAACGTCTGAAATGTTTAAGTGATTTAAACCGCAAAAAGAACTAAATAAAAGGATTTTTTTAGGATTGAAAATCCGGATTAATTTCACATTTACCGACTAGTTTTCATTTCCTTGAAAAGCTAATCTCTTTTGCTTGAAATATCCCGGAAAAAAATATTACTTATTTTCGGCTAACCATTAGGTTATCATAGGTAGCTTGTTCCTAATTTTTCGCTAATCTATATATTTATAACTTGTAAATATAATCAAATAGAGGTACTAAATAATAAAGTATGTGTGTAAAGGTATTCAGTTAGATATCTATTCAGTCAAATAAGTGAAAACAGTAGTAAACGTTTTATCATTTGATTCATTTGATAAAATATTTCTTATAAATTCTTATAATTCCCGGCCCTTGTGTACCGCGGTAGGGTCCAGTCCTCACTGTGTGAACGCGGACGCATTTATTCGAGTGGCCTGATAGAAATTAGAAATTATTAGAATTAGAAAATTCTCAATTCGAAAATAGCCTTTTCTTATATACATTAGATAACAAAACAAACAATGCAGTTTCAAGCCATGAAAGAATGGAACAATCTGAGTGACACTCTTAAACAGTGTTCTAATATTAACCATTTTAAATCGAATTTCTTTTAAASCTGTAAACCTAAATAATCTGAACTTTTCATCTTTTACAATTTTACATACTAGTAATAATGATGTTGACTTTTCAGTAACGAGCTGGTTTCGATATTCAACCTCCAAATTCTCTTTTTGCATATTATTGTGAAAATATATTATTTATCAGGACCTTCTTGAAAATCACATTTATAAGTGAAGTAGCTTCCTGTTAAAATATGAATGTAAATAAATAAATAATTTGTATAAATGTTAAACTGAGGTCAAAATTTTCAAACTTTCCCATGTAAGACTTCAGTGAGTAAATGACGATAAACTAAGAGTTGATATTATCTCCACACCCCACCGCCCTGTGTTTTTTCATAACAACCTCAAGCTTCATTAATCATTATTCCGAGATACTGCTGTCTCCAGATGAAGTTCTCGCACTCACATAAAAGTGTGGCGCTGCAAATCCGGTTTTCACTGCTTCAGGCTTGTAAAGAAAGCTTTTATCGTGACTATTTGGTGGCTAGACTTTTTCTATCGCCAGGACCGCCTAGTTTATTTTACTTTAATTGCTTTATATTTCGCCATTAGTCCTTCGTCCCTTCAGGGCGGTTTACTAAACAGGAATGCCAGCAAGAAGGACTTTCCCAAAATAGTTTGCTAAAAATTGCCTCAAATTCATTCATGTCTTGCATCGAATCAGTATCAGTTTTCGTATATTATCTGGGTGAGAAAGGTGACGGGTGAGAATGTCAAACCCCTCTTTCTTGTCCACCCCCTTTGCCCTCAGCTATTTTCCCTTCTCCCACAGCGGCAAAGATCCCCGGAATCCAGTTCCATGACATCAGTTGATTTCAATTTATATTTGTGTTTCCGATGCTTTATCGTGTCCAAAGCTTGTCATGATTCCAATTTTCGTAACGGGATCGATAAGCTATCGGAATCTCCGACAACCCGACTCCGTATATCCCTGAGATGATTATCGCCAAACTCAATGTCATTATATAATGGCTTTGATCTACCTTTTAGAGGAAAGAGTCTACGGTGTAGGTTTAAAGATTACTTAGGTGTTGCACTTTGGCTTCTGGGATGCCTTACGGCGAGATGCGATATTGGAATCGTTTTTATTTTTATATCTTCGTAAATAGTCTTTAACGGAAAAGATTCTCAATAGTCTACTGTTATACAATTAAAACGCATGCGCGTGCGTGTCGTGTACATTTGATAGAACACGAGAGAAATGTTAGAAAATGTTAGAAAAAGCGCAACACGTAGTGGAGTACTCGTAAATAATTTTCCTGCCCAAATGGAATAAACCATATTCGTTTATGATTTATGTCTTTTGATAATGAGAAAAATGGACAATTAAAACGTCTGCGCATGCGTGCTTTTCCGTATATCGATAATTCAAGGTATTCTAGTGTGAAACGAATCATTCATCTTCTGCGACCAAGCAATATTTTGTCGCTTGGCTAAGACACCCTATTAATGAAGACAATATGAAAGAATTAATCCTATATTCTCAGATAACAGGCTTAAAGTTTGGAAATTTTGTAAAGTCAAAAGCAAATTTGAAAGCCAGATTTGCATTTTACATACGAAGGAATAACTTGCATACAGATCGTGAGCATGCGCAGGCGCCTTTCTCAGTCGTGGTTGGAATGTGAAGTTTTGCGCATGCTCAGACAGCTTGTTTTCACGCAGTAACTTTTCGTGATGTGCGCCTGGAGCAGCGCAAACATTTTTGCACGTTAATTAGATATCAGGAAATGAACGAGCCACGATATGGAATTGACTATTGTTTTATCTTTCTTCCGAGGAAAAAAGGCTATTCTTTTCTGTACTTTGTTCTTTAATTTCGTAACGCATTTTAGGTCAGTGTGATTGCAAATGTTCGCGAGTTTTTATCAAATGGCAATGTAAAGATAACACGGTTACATGAGGAATATTCTATCAGGCTTAAAGTGAAGTGAAGACTAGAGACAAAAAATAAACCTAGAAATTAAAAAAAGAAAAAGTTATATGGAAAAAAATTTTAAACGAAAATAGTAAAAAAATTTACATTTTGTAAAATAGGGAGATTAGTCTTCACGTAATATTCGTGTATCATTTCCTAGTAGTTGAAGTTGCATTAGGTTATATTCCTAATAGCCAAATTATCAAAAGGGAAATGAAATATTCAGCTCATGTGCCACGACTGCCATTAAGAAAATAACTGTAAATACAAAATAGTTGGTATTAACGAAAACTTGTTTTCTACTCAATAGGAATCTTATTTCTTTTCCAACACTCGCCCATATGTTTCATTAGGGCTGTTAAAGGCGCCTACCGAGAATCTATTTCCTGACGCCATCGATAATGTTCAACGATGTAAACAATGAGCTTTGTGACCAGGATACTCCTGCCCTCGAAGCGGACGTAGGAAGATTTTAGGACGGTTTTTCCTACCGTTTTTTTTAGCGGAAATAGAGATCGTTGATCGTTTTTCTTTTGGCGGGAGAGGTAAATAAGTGTAGGTTGCTGTCTTTGTCAAAACCCAACACCAAGGCTCAAAAAAGCTTAAGTGCAAAAACGCGGCAATCGCAACTTCAACCGTGCGGCATTAGTAACAATATTAGTAGCTATTGACGTAAGCAGATCAAAGTAAATCTATGACCACAACCACTCACACACGCACTAACCTACATGAGCTTGACCATCACGCGCACTCGTTCCCTTAGATCGGACTTTAGAACTTCTCCCTTCTAACTGAAAAAACATCTTCGAGCAAACTTTCATTGACTTTCGCCCAGATTCTTTCGGCTTCTCCCCTTCTCTCCCCATCCTCTATATTAGAAAATGAATATTCCTTTAGAAATTTTAGTTAAAATTGTATTTTTCAGTCGAATTTGTCAGTTTATTTGTGTGTATTTTTCCAGTACGTTATCGTCAGGGTTGAACTCCCTAGCTGCTGTAGTCCTCGAAGACATCATTAAACCCATCAACAAAAATCGCAATACACAACTTCCCGACCACAGAGCAGCTATTTACACGAAACTTCTCGGTAAGTCTCATACAAGGGCCATTCAAGGGCATTCTTGTTCAATGTGTTTGAGCCCGCGTTACTCTGGTCTCCGCAAAGAAACTACGAACGAATCCAAATGGTACCGTTTCCTGATTGGTCAATACAATAACGGGAATCAACCAAAACAAAAAAACCGGAACTATTTAGTCGGGTTCCCCCAAGCCCTTCGTTTCTCAGTTGACAGAGGCCAAAATGACCGTGGGCTCTGGTAACGAGAATGACGTACCCTAGTAAGTGTCTTACGCAAACGCATAAATAGCACTTCTTGCATTATATTTTACAAGATTTTTCGTATTTATTTTACATGTAGTTTATTTTATTATTTCAATTTCATTTCGAAAGCTTGTTAGAGATGCTATTACATGTTGTTATTTTTTATATTTTCAGCTTTGTTTTTTGGAATCCTGACGATTTCATTGTCTTTCCTGGCAATGAAATTGGGCGCTATCTTAACGGTGAGAATACCAAAATAGAATACTTTATTCTGATAACGAGGGCGTTTCTTCTTCGTTATGTTCGCTTGCGAGAAAAACTGCAAACCATTAGGAGCGCAGGCTGAGGGGACGAGAATACGAATGTGCAATAACAATTTCGTTGAGATTACGTTTTTAGGATTTTATTGTAATCTTGTTTCTTAATTGATTTGACGTTTTTACCTTGTAGACTTTCTACCGCGTGTTTGGAGTTGTTGGTGGTCCTGTGGTGAGCGTGTTTTTGCTGGGAATCCTGACAAGGAAAGCGAATGCAAGGGTAAGTCATTTAATGCTGTTAAGATAGCATCTTAAAAGGATGGAAAAGAAAAATGCTACCGTGAGACAAGAGATGTTGACTTTCCCGTTCCTGGGGATGGCTGAGGAATAATGGATACGAATTTGTGCCGTATGGAATTGTGGGAACCCAGTTCTTACCAATAACCAAGATGGCGGACTTTTTGGAGTGATTTTACTTGGCCTATGAAATGAAGTTGTATGATTAGTGACTATCTAACAATCAAAGTAAAACAAAAATGAGAAAACAATGGAATTTGTGTCTGCTACTATGCATTATGCTTACAATTTCTTCTTGGGCCTAGTAAAACCTTTCTGTTCGCATCCTTAGTTATACGAATTTAATGTATCGTTTCACACGCGAAACGTGCTCTATGGCTCTTAGTTGGAAATGTATGTATTTTCATGCTATCCTCGCATCCACGATTCTTTAAAGAAAGGTGCATCTCTAAGTGAAAATTCATTTACGTTGTTAATATCATACAGGGTGCCTACGCTGGATTAGTGTCTGGTCTTGCTATTGGACTGTGGATTGCTATTGGCGCACAAATCTACCGACCTCCCCTCTCCCTCCCTCCTGTGTCTACAAGTGGTTGTGCTGCGGGATCAAACATAACCCTAGCCACATTTGTAAATACTACAACTGCTAGCACACCTATCAACAAAAGGTACCGAGATAGAAATTATTCGTACTCCATTTAAAGACTCACATGCTAGTGGCAGAACGAACTTCAGACCTTTTTTTCCTTTTCAGTTACGAAGGACTTGCTTTGTACAAATTATCTTTCCTTTGGTACAGTACAGCCTGCTCCCTTACGACATTCATTGTCGGTATTATAGTTAGTTATATATTTCCAGGTAAGTAATGATTAATTGTCCACCTTTCCTCTCCTTTATTATCAACACTTTGATTAGCATCTCACAGGAATTTCCTGAGATACTGGACATAATGCATTGTGGTCTAGCTTGGGTACAAACATTACCATGATGATCATAAAGATGTTTCTACCTAAGCTAAACCACGATGCATCATGCTCACAAACTTCGATTAGCATTGCACAGGCAATTTCCAAGATACTTGACATAATGGACGGAGCACGGAAAAATCTGTTTTATCCGTTTTATTATATAGTTACTAATTTTATTTTGGTATTGAATTTATTTACGCAAAAAGAAAGAAAGTCGTTGTCGCAGGAGCAGAACTTCGCGCGCGCGGATGGCGTCAGCACCGTGCTCCGTTCACTAATAAAGCAGTTTTCGACCAATCAGCGCGCACGTACTATCCTAACTATATATATTAGAATGAGACGATCGTATTCTCTGGGATTTTCAGGTGACCATGACAGCGAAGCAGTAGATCCTCGACTGTTGTTTCACTTCAGCAACTGCTTCAGAAATAAGTCAGGCATAGAAAAGTTGTGTCAAGAATCGGTTAGTACAACTAGGGGTCTCTTCTTGCATTGAATATACCTCTATATCTTGGGCGCAGTGTTAACCCAATTCAGACCATTTGTCTGATTCTTTTCTTGAGTTTTATCCATATTCATGGTTAATAGAAATTAATGATACTCTTGATGACACGTGGTCCCTAATGGAACAAACATTGCAACGAGACGAATTAGGTCTATCATACAGTCCTTTGACTAAACGTTGTCGTTGATCGAATTATCCCTACGCGCCTAGACCGAAAAGGATAACGGATAAATTACCCAGAACTTGCATCATCCAAACTGCTTGCCAGTTTAAATCTTCGCCGTATGCTCGAGGCATGGTTTCAGCAAATTAAATGGGATCGAAAAAAGCGAGCTCAAGACGTGTTAATTAACATATGCGGCAGCTTGTAACTGTGAATTAATTATCCCCATGATCCTGTTCGGTCTAGGCGCGTAGGGATGAAGCCGATCAAACGTCAACGTTTAGTCAAAGGACTGTATGTAATGTTGGACTCCAACCTCTCTGACATTAAAGGCCATGAGAGATTATTCTCAATTACTGGGTTACCTGTGGTAACCGGTCTTGATGAAAAAGCTCTATTCTGAAAAAGATACTGTGATCGTTTTAGCATTGCCAAGTTTGTTTAGCACTGAATATTTACATGACACAGGCAACCCAGTGAACTCCATTACGCGTCTAGTCCTTTGAACTCTGGATAGCTGGACTCAAGTTCTTATTCTCGTTACCTTATGCCTCGAACTTTAGTTAATTTAATCTAATCTTTTTTAAGGACTACGAGGAAGCTGTCTTAACGGAACATGAAACACCAGGTACATACAGGGAACAGAAATCGACGTCATCGCTGTTTAACGTCACTTCCGTTTAATATCTGAGTCACGTGACACCTAGTCACCTTGGCGAGCCGGCTATTTTTGACCTGTTTACAAGGCAACAAGCTTGTAAAGTCCAAAACCAGGAGATCCCTAAACTCAACGAGTGGTATCTTGCTCAAGAAGTATTTGGACAGTAAAGCTTGGTAAATTCGGAATTTTGAAAGATCGATAGTTTTATACAACTTTTTTCATTGCACGAGTGTTGTGATTGGATCGTTTGTTTTTGTATTTCGATTCGGGTTCCGAGCACAAGCCACAGTATAGAATTTCTACCAAGGATAGAAACAGAATAATAATTTAAGGTAACCAAACATTCTTAAATAACCTGAAATCGTTTAAATTATTCAAGTTTTCGCGTTTTTCTTTAAAAATGGATACCTCTTATGACTTGCGCATTTTGTACATTACTTCTGTTTAATCTTATGATTTTCTTCTATATCATTATTATTTATTAAAGTCGTGGGTTGTGATTAAAATAACTTGAAACAATCCTGTTTATTTACAAGGGTGAGTAATTACATGTAATATTTTTTTTACATTGTTTATCTAACCAACACAAATAAAGGAAATTCTGATGGAAATCATTAGGTCTCTTCTGTTTTCTCTGAAGTTACACTGGAGGGCTGGGACGATCGTCGAGATGTTCCCGATGCAGGCCGGGATTTCGAACTACTCGGCCTTGATGAAGATTTTGACTTAGGGGACCCGGCACGGGACGACTTTGGGCTTCCAGATCTTGATTGTGGCTTGGGTGAACCAGAGCCAGACTTGTGTGATTTGGCTGAGGATGGTCTTGAGGATGGTCTTGAGGATGGTCTTGAGGGAGGTTTGTCGGTGTCAGCCTGTTTTTCAGGTTCTGGTTCTGGTTTCGGTTCCTCCTTGGGTGGTTCTGGTTGAGGTTGCTGATCCATGATCGGCTCCACTTCTCCATGAATGATCTTATGTGCTGCTAGAAGATGTTTCCTTTGGTTTCGTTTGACTGTAAAGAAAAAGTTTTGTTAGTATAACAGTACTGTAAATTTAAGGTGCAATTTGTGTTTCTTCAAGCATATTTTTCTCGAGAAAAAATTTCCGAGCTCGGATTTTTTTCCCGAGAAAAATATATTTCAAGAAACACAAATCGCATCTTTAATGATTATCCAAGCAGCAAAAATACTTTAGTATTGTAAGAGTTTAGTTGCGAACCCATCTCCGATCCCACCCATGCATCCTACGAGTAGATCTATCCACAAAAAGGTGTCTGAAAGCCTCTAAAAGAAAAAGACTCACCCTTCTCCCGGACAGTAATTTTTTGAACTTCGGGCAACAGGAATGACGTCACGAGTTCGGCAACAATTTCTTCGGACTGCAATTTCGTTCGCCTAGAAAAAACATTTAGCAAAGATAAACAGAATAACAGAATGAGATTAGGATGTATATTTTTGATGCTAACCTATATATAACATATGCTAGTGCTAACCTATATATAACGTATGTTGGGGAATGGTGACGCACTAATCATTTGTCCCCATATAATTCCAAAAATAGCTTCTTCTACAATGCGCGCGCCATGTTTGATTGTTTCCGGTCATGGTTCATCGTTTTTCAGTCCCAAACATCCCACTCGTGTGGTCTAAAACTGTGGCAGGATTTCCAATATTTGAATTCGGGCAAAAATCCATGACCAGCAGCCTTGAGTCTCCATGTCGTATTAGAACGGCGGCTTATGTATTTCGGGCGTGAGCTATTTCTAGACAGTACCGCACAACCAATCATATTCCTCGAAATCACATGCGCTGTGCTGATTGGTTGCTTTCAGCAATAAGAATAGGATATTTGGATTTGGGCGACTCAAACTTGAACGATTGGTCACACGTAGAGGAAGCTCTTCCAATAATGCAGCTCTCGTTTGACATGCGTCTGTCAATTTTACATTCGTTTCTAAGCCTGTTTTGTACTAACGCCTTGCTTTAACCCTTATTCACCCAAGGGAGGTTGAATTTCGCTTCCGGTTAAGATGTCCATATTTGGCATAGCTAAAAATAGCTCCTTCCCAAAGCACAAAGATCGTTTTATAAATGTTATGGTGTTCCTGCGATGGCGTAATAGCGTAATACTCGAATAACTTACGTCTTTTCGACATCGTAAGCGATCTTGTTTATTTTCTCAGCTTGTTCTTGAATCTCTTCACGGGCCTAAAATTAACCATGGATTTAAGAACAAAGTATTTAGAATCTCTTTTAGCGCTTTACAATGAATATAGTCATAAAAAAGTAATGGTTTAGTATAGGAAATCGCACGATCTCGAGTACAATTTGATCGTGCGATTTTTTGTTTATAGTTCACTCAACGAAATTTCAGTTAAAAATGCGAAGCGACGCCGTTCATCTTTGTCTATTTGGCGGCCAATTTTCAGTCCATCGCGCAACTGAAATGCATAAAAAAGATTAGTTATTAGTTTTTACGGCTTTTTTTTGCGGCTGTTGACATTGTTTTGGCCGTGTTGCCATAGCGACTTAATTCGGTACTCCTACGGAGTACAATTAACGCTATAATTGTACTCCTCTCTCAAGTTTTTTTCCTGTCGTACCTGTTCATGAGCCGTGATATCGATAGCAGCTAGTATAATATCTTCCAGGTATGTATCCACGGTGTTCTGATGCACGTTAACCACCTACCAACAAAAACATACCAAATTTAAATATATATTAATAATTCCTCAAACCTCATTTTGAAATCAAGAGTGGTATGTACTAGACATCAATACGTTGACTAACCTGTTTAAAGACTTCGTCTTCTTCGCGTCGTCTGCGCTCTTCTACTTGTCTTCGGCCACTTTCCTCGGCCTCGCGCATTCGGCGCTGTCTTTCAGCTACCATGGCAAAGGCGTGAATTCTACGTTCTTCTTGCAATCGAACGAGTTCCTAGAAAATGAGAAAATATACTCTCTGGAAATCCATCACGAGACACAATTCCTCTATAGACTACTACACATTAGTATGGAGAATGGAAGAACACAGAATGTCTTTGATTGACCCGATAATCAGGTAGCCCGTGAATTTATGATATTATTGGTCGGCAATACTGAGGGTTTCAATGTGTTCTCAGTGGTTCTTTTGGTCCTTCCATTATTGGACCACAGCTTCTCTCCCCCCCCCCCCCCCCCCCCCCCCCCCCATATACAGTATTTTCCCGCAAAGATTTTATGAGGAGGTGGAAGGACTGTTATTTCCTATAGAACGCCTCGTGGTATCACCCATAGTACATTTACCATTATCCTCCCTTCTAGAAAATACTCTCCTAAACCAGCAAATATTAAGGTTACGGAGATCTCAGTATCGATACGACAAAGTCGTAGCCGTAACCTTACGTAGCCTTAACTACGCGTTGTGATTGGATGAATTATCGGAAGACAATGGAAAACCAATTAAGTGTTACGGGACCCTTGGATACCAGCTTCGCGCCGGTTGCTGAATGGATCACCCTGCTAAAATAAAGTTTATCTAACCTTGCTAAGAAAGTCAAACATGTCAGCCAGAGTAGAACCCTCCATCTGCGCTAGAGCTTCTTCTTCGAAGGAATTCTTGTGCTGATCAAGTCGTCTTTGTCTTTGTAGTGATAGTACCGCTTGGCGTTCGTTGCGTTTTTCCATCTGACCGGCCTCTTGCAGCGCGTGCGTACTCCTTAGCTCTTGGATTAACTCAAGGCGCTTTTCCTTGCCTTCAAACATCTGAAACAAAAACGAAGGTATTTTACGACTAGTCTACCACAGGTAGCTCAGTAATCCAAGTGAACATAAGATAGTAAGACATTGGTGTCAATCTTTTTTCTCTCCAGTGACCAAAGAACATGGGGCGGGCATCAGCCTTGAGCACTCAGTTGATGTAACGTAGTCCGAAAATCTATTGTATTTTATTGTCGTTCTGTCTATTGTATTTGTATTTCCTTTTACTCCGACGAAGGACTAGCGTCCGAAACGTCAGTTAGCTTGCAACGTAGGCTCTCCCGCCGTGACAATGGAACTCATGATGGAGAAGCACTGGGATCGGCTCTGGAACCCAGTGCACCGCGGATTCATACATGGGGTAGCTAGGGTGAAAATGTTAATGCTTACCATGTTCTGAATTGCTCTTCCACGGATGATCTTTTGTAAATAGATGATAGCAAGTTCTGCTTCTTCCTCAACCTTTAATCACAAAATATTCTAATATTAGCCGCAATACCAATGGAAGACTACATGGATGACATGAGCATGGGAGCAATGTTTCACCATGGTTTGACTGGTGAGATTCGTGAGGTTCATACAGATTAGTGAAACAAAGCAATATCAGTCAACATCATGAGCGTCACCTACATGACAATCAACGTTTGACATCGTGGTCATCATCAATCATTGTTAACATGATCACCATCGACTGACTAGCAACATCATCATCCTTATCTGAACATCATCATCAACATCCTTCATTATGGCTATCATCATCATGATCATCATTCATCATCATGCACTGTGTCATCATCATCATTACTGATGACCATCATAAACTAACCTGTGATGGTACTGGTACTGATGGTGTTGGTGGTCGAGGCACAGGTTTCTCCACCTTCACCAAAAACTTCAAGGGCTTCTCCACTTCGACAGGTCTTTTGGCCTTTTCAATGATATCCGCCACCTGTTCCAACTCCTTCTGTCTCCTCTGTGTCCTCTTCACAAATCCTGCCTTGGCACCAGACTTAGGCTTGGGTGCCTGGACACGAGGCTGGGTAACAAAATCAGGCAGTGATGCTTCTAGCTCGAGAAGACCCTGGTAGGTTGAGAGGTGGAAGCTTTGGACGTTATACTGCTCTGATCCACGATCAAGGAAAACACCCACACGTGACATTGGGGCAAATGTCTGGGAACCGTTAGTGGAATAGTCTTTGACAATGTTTCGACGCTCGAGTTTCCCTTCGACGTTCTTGCGTTTTTCTTTCAGCTTTCTCAACACTGATTTAAAAAATAGACATGAATCATTTATGATATTTGAATGGCAATTAACACGCAGTACCAACTCTTTTGTGTTTATAATTATACTTACTCTTAGCATGCTCTGTTTTGAGTTTGTGAAACTTGGATTCTTTTTCTTGCTGTTTGTCAGACCTAAAAACATAAAAAACTACAAGTTAACCAAAGAATCCAAAGAGAACCCTTGATTCAAGGGGGAGAGATCAAACGAATTCTGCTCACATATCTTACTAGAAATCTGCTCAGTCAGAAGGGATATGCAAATAACTAGCTGTTGCATGTAGCAAGTAAGGTGCAGTGAGTATATATGAAATGACATTAAATAAAAGTGGTTGCTACATAACTGTTATCAGACAAGTAAAAGATGGTAAAGAGACTTGCAGGATCATGACTTACCACAGTCGGTCTAGCCTTTTTGCATTGATTTCTGCATGGTCCTCTTCTCTTTGCTGTAAGATTTCTTGTAGGACTTGTAGTCTAGCTTCTTGTAACCTGTTATGAGGAATGAATGGAATCAATGAAAATGAATGAATGAAAAATGGAATGGAATGGATGGGTGAATCAATGAATGAAATTGGGAATCTAAATGAATAGGGTAAATAGACACAAGAGAAAGTCATTTCAAAGCCTCACTTTTCAATTTCCTGTTCTCTGAATGACCATTCTCTTCTCTCTTGTTCATCCATCATTCTTCTTCTCTTCTCTAAGTTCTCCATGTCATTCAAGCTTGGCAAAGTTGATTCCCTGATATAAAGAAAAATATTATTATAACCTATGCAATTCAAGATATATCTAGGGGGATCCTGGAGTGACTGTGACCATTCTTCTAATGCGTTTTTGGGGGAGGGGTGTTGATGTTAGTGGGGAGTGACCTCCTCATAGGAAAACCTGAATATGTCTATGTGCTGCTATGGGTTGAATCCCAACTCAATCTGTTAGCCATACCCTGACTAAGATCAGAACAGGGTTTATTTCAGGTTTTGATAGTGCTGATGTTTAATCTGTTATGTGACATGTTTTTCAGGTATAAATAAATTTCTCACCATAATCTTTTTGCTCTTGCTCTTTCGATCATCTCCACCTCGGCAAGCCCTGCAGGCAAGCCATGTCCTGTAAATAGATTCAAATGCATTTAATACCCAATAACTAATATGAACGAAATGAATATGGCAACTAAGTGAATAAATGGAATTGTGATTCTGAAGAGTGGCTCTTCTCCCTGGGGGATTACTCCCCTATATTCGCTATATGTGACGTGCTGCCAAACAGGGTATGGTTTTCAGCGATTCTACTCTGGAACAGGGTATATTAAATTGTGCTCGCTCTGGAACAGGGTATATGAAATCACGCTCTCTCCTCTCTGGAACAGGGTTTTCAGCGATCTTGCTCTGGAACAGAGTATGAATTTCAGTGATTTTTACTCTGGAACAGGGTCAGGGTTCAGAGGGCTCAGCGGCACATCCCTACCCTAAACGGGCAAGAGTACCCCCCCTGGGCTCTTCTTCCACTAAATCCAACTGGAATACAGGAGGAGTTGAACAAAGAAAATCCCTCAAAACAAAGAATAAAACTGAGTTTTGTTTTATTATCATACCATATGAAAGAGTAGCAAGGGTTAGTAGTTCAGGTTGAGATCCTGGCCGTACAACATACTCTGGTGTATAGGGATCAGTCTGAGCCTCACTGTCTCTATAGTCTGTCTGTACCATTACTGTCCTGGTAGCGGGTGTTGGTGGTCTTTCTTTCTCTAGGTCGTGGCTGGACAGAGGGTCAGTTCTGGAGATAATATTTGGAAATTGAAATAAGTAACTGCTAGTGATAATGTGAAGGAAAGAGGTTGCTGATTATACATGTAGGTCGATGGTAGTGTTTAATATAATGAGAATAAAAAGGACTGTGCTGATGAAAAAGTTAACAATGATTATGATGGTGGTGGTGGTGATTGACAGTTCGTGATTGGTGGCATTGACCAAAACTATAGCAGTTGTGGTAGTGTTGGTGTTAGTGTTGATGATGATGGTGGTGATGATAAGGTGATGATAATGATGATAACGGTGGTGGTTATGATGATGGTGATGGTGATGATGGTAATGATGATGATGATGATAATGGTAGTGATGATGATGATATTGATAGTGATGTTCATGATGATAGTGATGATGATGATGATGATGATGATAGTAATATTCTCACCTTGAGGTTTGCAGTAAAACATCAGGGGGAACTTGTTGAAGGAATGGAATAATTGGTCTTTTGAAAAACTTGTATCTGTCCTTTCCACCTACATCTGTGACAGGAAACGACTTGGGTGGCACTTGGACTGATGGGTCATAGTTAAACCTAAATACAAACATTCAAGATGATGAATACCTTATCTCAAAAATAGTACCATTTCATTTGACACTTTTTAGCTTCCACAATTAAATAAATACTACCTCAGACCATTGAGAATTTGCTTGAAAAAAGCCAAAAACCCATCTAGATGGCTCAAATTATAGCTAGCTAAGTTGCATAACTATTAGTATAACAAGGTTTTCATGTTTAAGAAACAATTTTTTAATGTGCAAACAAATATATCCATCCATAGTAAAAATACATGAATAAAAACATCTCAACTTGTCACAGCACGATATCATCAATGTTAAAATATTTACAAGTCAAATAAAATGGGAAAAACCACTTTTAGTGTGCGAGAACCTTGTTGTACATGTATTGGTTTCATTTTTTATACCATATCTTATTTCTTTTTTCTACAAAGACATAGCTACCCATTTTCTTGTTTTTTAAACTTTTTTCACATCCCCTGAGAATGGGTCCAAGACCAAAATAATGCTTAAGTACAATAATATTAACTATAATTTCTATAGCTCTTACTTTGTGTATCTAGCCAATGCCTCTCTTGCCTGTTCACTATACCCTCTCCATTGCCGTGGGATGAACTTCGGCACGGGATCGGTGGCCTCTAGATGCACACTATATCGTGGATAGTGTGAAAGATCACTAAACATAGTCTGATAATGTGGGACTCGTTTCTAAACAAAGATTATTTGCATTATTAATGATGAGTATTATGTTTACCTTACCAGGGCCATACTATCTGTGAAGGATTATTCAATAAACAATTCCAAGGATTCCAAGAAAATGAAATGAACAAAATACAATTTTAAGTTAACTTGGAGGGTAAAACAGCGTTAAATCTCAATTTCTCAGGAAAATGAAAATATATCTTTGTTTTGTCCTGTAAGTTAAGATTCGCTGGGAATACTACTACTCCTTTCTAATATGGAATTTCCTAAGGGATGAATAGAGAGACTAGAATAAATTAACTTCAGTGAGGTGTGATGTGATGTGTAAATTCCAAGTATGGCTTAGGACTTAAACTCCCACTGTTTTTTAGAGGTTATGCATGAGACTATACTTTATCGTAAAATTTATACTTACAACTCTATCAGTCCCTGTGTGAGCCTTAAACGTTGCTCTAGCATGGTCACGATCACTTGAGAGGGTATGAATGTTATCTGAAAAATAAGAAAATAAAAATAAGAACTATAAATAAATAAATATGTATACACACAGTATAACAAACAATCACATGACTTGTAGAGAGTTACGAAAACACCACAGTCTATCAAATACTAGTATCTCGATATTTCTGTAAGAAGGAAAACCTTGTATCTATAAGATTGGCTTGCGTAAAATAAAATTAACTCCTTTGACTTTTTATCTCGTAATTTAGAAAGAAAAGACTATTCGTAATTACTGTAAGTTTGTGTTTTATAGTAGTCTTATTTATAATTTTATTTTAAGATTCATAATACGGTACGAAAAATCAATAGTAAAAATTCGACATTAGTAAGCTTATATAGGACTGAACATCAAAAACAAAGCTTTTTTCGCTTACCATACAGGTAGTCATGAGTTCGAGCGGGTTGAACCCTTGTTCTAGTTACCGTGTGTGTTGTTGACATGGTGAAAATGGCTCAAAAAGCTCCCAAAAAATACGAAAAAGTCTCACAGTTTGATACACAACATGTCTGCTCTTCTTCTCGCTCCACTTTCTTGTCGATGTAGTTGTCATAGCAACACGGACCAAACCAAGAAACTAATGCCCAGTACCCCTCAGTTAAAATTATAAAATCTATTTTAAAAATCTTTTTTCATCAAAAGCGTTAATTTATCCTTCTTTTGCAATATCAAAGTCTTCTTCTAACGAAATTTAAAAAAGATATTTTTAGAATAAAGCTTTTTTTCGTATTTTGAAGAATCAGCTGAAAGACTGGGCACGAGACAATTGTTGCCATGTCAACGAGGAAAGCCAGCTGAGTGTAATAAACTAAGGTAAATTTTTAGCAAAACTCTTCAAAAATGTCCTACGCTACTTCTAGATCTATTCCATTTGTGAGCGTACTGCGTGCTACTGGCCATGGAGAAGTTTGGGATCACACAGACGACAAGAAGTTTTCTCAATTTGGCTGGAGATGCACGAATAACGAGAGTTCTTATTCACCGACACGAACTTTGGTTGGAAACTGGAATGAACAAAGGTTCGATATCTCTACATTATCCCAAGCAAAACCCATTCCATCACAGGTAAAAGCACTATATAAAAATAAAGACTAATTTGTGCACTAATTAGCCAACTTTTTTATTTGTACTTGAAGTTTTAGTATAGGACTTAATTCTAATTTGTAAGTTCAGCAAACCAGTTCAAAATTGCAACACATAATATTAAGAATTGACTTGTTTTATACTTGGAAACAAATTTAGTTGTAAGTCAAATTATCTTAACCTACTTAATTAAGCCTAAAACATTTGTTGTGAAGTGTGATCGTCCGGATGAGTGTAGTCTTGAGAAAGACTATTGATGGTGACTGACGTTTCGACAACCTGAAACATTATTCAAAACTTATTTACAAGTTCAATGTTTTCTATTGTTTAGTTCAGCCATTACTTCGAGACGACCCAAAACAAGAGTTTTAACTCTAAAAACATGAATAAAGTACCAAAAGCTCTCAAGCACTTGGAAGGTAAATATTTCAAAATATTTTTCGATAATTGCTCAGTTTTAGCTCAGCATTAATATATGCTACAAATATTTTGCTAGGCCTCTAGAACAATTAAAAAAGTGTTCACCAGTATCCATTCCAAAAACTGGGTCTAGTTGGCATTGCACTGCATTGTGGGATTGTTTAAGGGAACATATATTCCAAGGTGACATCTATTTTGATCCTTTCAACAGTCCCACGTTGCACTGCAAATATGCAAACTCAACCCTTTCCCCCTCAGCTTCATCATCTGAATGTATCCACCTACTAGCTTACTCACTTTGTGCTCAATCACTTTGTCGTAGCTGACTTTAACACTTACTTATGCACCCAATCATTTATTGTAATTTCCATCCATTTTAGTATTAGTTTGATCTAAAATTATTGATACTTTATTCTATAGCACGGGAATCTACAGCTTACCCAGGTCATCAGCCTGAATTAGACCCTCCTCATCTCAAGAAAGAGTACAACTCATTCATGACTACATCTAAAGCTGCTTTTGGAGATCCTAGCAGACTGAGATGAATGAGAGAGAAATCATCTAGAAATGGTAGAAATGTGACTTGTTTTTCTCATTGGAAATAATAATGATGAAATGCAAAGATTGACTTTGAATTCAAAAGAAAATTTCTTATAATCTTTTTTAATAATTTTGTTTTAAATCTTTTCAACTTTTTGACAAACTGAAAAGGTATATGATCAAGAATGGTTTTTTAATTTGCTTTGTAACATAAGGTTTTATGAAATGTAATGTAATAAGTGTTTGAATTTTGAATAAATAACTTGAATATACATTGCTTTTCGATCTGTTTTGTTTTTCAAAGACAGGCTCTTTGGGTGGAGAAAAGAGTACACTTGCTTAGCTTCTTTTGGGTTGCCTGTGTCTTTATCATCTTGTCACAGGTATCCCAAATAGAGGATCAGCTTTGTCAGTTTGTAGCTGGTTTGACATTTAAGATAGGGTGTTTAATTTCTGCTGTTTTGGGACTTTGTGTTGCTGTTTGTAATTGCTGTAGCCTTGATAGGAGGCCTGTGGGCTTTGACTGATTTTCAACCATGTCAGCAAGGGTGCTGGCAATTTGAAAATGGAGCTGTTGACACCTAAGGAAAAGAAAAGTAAAAAGAAAAGAGTATGTTTTATTGAGGTGGCTAATGAGGTGTCCAACTCGTTGAATGCCCTTTATGGATCAGCATACCATTGTATGATAGTATCCTACCTGAACAAGTAGAGGTCAATATGATCTGAGGTAGTAAGGAAAGACTCTATCCAAGTGGGGTTGGTGCAAGGGTCTGTCATAATCACAAAGTCGTCATGTCGAAGGGTCTCTTTGAAGCTTTGTGTCATCTCTTCAAAATTAGCAAACTGACTGGTTTTCTGTATTTGTGTACAAAATACAGCAAATGTATTCTGAGTATGTGTACATTCGTGATTCGGCGGCAATTTTTGGGTGAGCACCTACTGTTTTATTATTTTCTCCCCCCCCCCCCCCCATTCACCTTGCCTCTCCTGCCCTCTTAGCACTCTCTTACTGATTTGAAATCAGAAAGCCCAGAAAGACGTGTTTCAATGACTGATGTCCTTTTCTAACGGTTCAATATGTCCACGATATAAATGCAAGGCTTGTCGCACTCCCCTTCTATTCCCTTCCCATCCTCCCATTTCTTTACCATACCCTTGGTAATAATACAAAGGCAATGCAAATCGAAGTCACTTTTCTATGGTCTGTACTCTTATTAAACAGAGAATGATGTCAGCAAAAGATTCAAACTCAAGTGGAACCGCAGTTACGTGACGATGACGTCAATTTATGCGTCTGTCCTCTTATCGAACCAATCAGCCAATCAGTGCGTGAGACATTTACAATCGCCTCAAATATTTGTTACCTGTTTTTCCAGCATCTTTTTGACGTCTTCGTGCTGTCGCTTGAAAAGATATTCCTTTTTCATCTGTTTAGTTAGAAAAACGAGTAGCTTAGTCCCTTGCATTAGACGAGGGACTGGAGAACTAGTAATACATTCAAACAACTTTAAAGGAAAATTGTAGTTTGTATTGAAAAATACCATGACTTACCTGGAGGATGGCTTCTTTTTCTTGCCTTTGCTGCTGGATGAATTTTTCGGTAGATTCGTGGATGTTCTGAATGACAACAAAAATATTACTTAACATGACCTCTAGTTCTTTGTTAGGAATAATGAGGCAAAATTCTCCACGCAGTGCAATGAAACTTAACATATGATGGTAATTTATTTCAGCTTTATGAGTGTAATTAATATTGTTAATTACCATGATAATAATGCCAATAAACAGGTTGGTAAAAATAAAATGACCCAGGAAAATGAAAGTAATGGTGAACCATTGACTGTATGGTCGCACGTCCAGGTCTTTTTGGATCTCTGTCCAGCCTTCTACCTATGTTATAAGGAATGATGTCAGAAAATTAGTGTAAAGGGAGAGAAGAGCTGGCAATTTACTAATGCTACAAGGGACAAGGGAAGGCGGGTAAGACATTTTGCAACAGTAATTAATAGAATGCGCAAATTATTACTCGCCTCTCGCTTTCGGGGTTCTGGGTTCCAGGGTCTGGTGTCGACATCATGTGTGAAAAGAGTTTGTTTGGTCTATCCCTCGATGAGGGTTTTCCTCCCTAATCGATGTGTAAGTAATAGCCGTACCCTGAATTTGATCAACCAGAGGGTTTTTATGATGTATTGCTATGCATATCTTACCGTGACAAATGTAAAGAGAGTAAGCATGGCCGTGCTCAGTGTTCCCCAGTTCTTTTTATCGCCCGTGATTTCCTCGTAACCAAACATGTAGTATCCAACCACAGCAAAGAACGCCATCAACATGGAAAGCAAAATGACCACGTTGAAAACAGAATGACGAATGGTATCGATGAGTGCGATGACGAGAACCTGAAGACCTTCGATGAAGGAGATGGTGCGAAGGGTTCGAGCAGCTGATTGGAAAGGAAAGAGGTCATAAAATGTTATAGCACATACTTTTTTTTGGTTTATAAGAAAAAAGTGGTTATTGTATGAGTGGGAAACATACGGTACTGACTTAAAGTACATACACGGAACGACATGTCGCAACATTGAAAAGGCTTCTTATTGTCTTCCAGGAATTCACGTAATCACGATAATAGTTACGGTTGCGGAGAGATACGGTACGATTACAGCAAGGCTACGAATTTGCGTATCGTTCCCCACTCGTACGAAAACCGCTCTTGTATAGAGTCAGGCCTATTGTGATACGGAACTAAAAATTCTATGAACCAATCACAGTGCCTGAAAGCCTTGATAAGTTAATAAAAGACCTCAGACACGGTAACGGTCACGATCATGGCTTGTCACGATCACAGCTTGTCACAGTGCTCCGTGAGTCATCAGAAGTGGTTTGATACAGTACCTCGAAGAAGACGAAGAGGAGTAAGAAGATTGTCTCCAACATTCAGCTCGTTCATGATGACTTGAACATAAGATGTCAGAAGTATAGTGAAGTCAAATATATTGTAGCTACTTTTCCAATAGCCAGATGGTTCAGCGTACAACTTCATTAAAAATTCCATAGTGTAGATAGACAAAAAGAAGTCGTCGAGGACTTTGAAGGTGTTTGCTTGGGTTCGTTTGTATTCATCTACTGTTTCCAAACCGATGCACAGAGCGTTGATGACGATAATGCCCATGATGAAACCATTGAAAACATTACTCTGATGAGAGAAGAAAAAGGGAGAGTTGTATTTAATTGTTTGCTCATAGTGAAAGGTTTCTCGTTCGTTTAGTGTGTGTGGTTTGGTGTGGTGTGGTGTGGTGTGGTGTGGTGTGGTGTGGTGTGGTGTGGTGTGGCGTGGTGTACTGTGGTGTGGTATGGTGTAC